CCAGATAAAAATCCATTGCAAAATTAGCATCTGCAAAGGTTGCATCTCTTTATTGTCTAGGGCAGATCCGTTAATAATTTTGTTTCTTTGACAAGGTGCAAAAATGCATTGCAAACATAGTTGAACATGCTCTTGCAGTCAACCTCCAACCATTATCACATTGTCGTAAAGTTGATTCTTTTTCTTTTTCTACAAATACTATAATAAATACTGCTCTAAAGAGCTAGCATTTCTTGTGCCCTAAAATTCATTTTCGTGTTACTCTACATTCAATTAAGTCTTATACTTTTTCTGTTCTAATGTTCTCCAAAAATTCTTATTTGTCTAGTTTTTTTGCTTGCAGCCTTGTTGGAAGTGATAATGTTGAAAAATAAAGAAAAAGCTGTTGTTACTAATATATCAACATAAATCTCAAGTGAGATTTCCCACTAACTTAAGTTTATTATAAAATCCTGTATTGTTAGATCTTTGTCTAGAAATGTTGCTGATTGCATTAAAAATGAAAATATTAAAAAATATGTAGTATACAGACAACATCGTTGTCGATAACATCGTTGTCGATAACATCGTTGTACATTACTAACCCATGGATGCCAAAATTTACAATTTAATCATTTTATTGTCTGGGTTCGAAGATTTACAAAAGAGTTATTTTGTTGTATGGGTGGAAAAGTTTACAAAGCAATCGTGTTTTTAATATTTTTATCAACAACAATCTAATAATTTTAATAAAAATTTCAAAAATTAGAAAATTGGAAGTTTAATAAAAGAATTTAATAAAAATTTTTTATTGAAAAAAAATAAATTTTTTTTTAAGAAATAAAATTTTGTTGGATGTAAACTATTTTTTAATTATTTTTCCTCAATGCTTTTACTAATTTCTTTCTTTTTTGCTTTTATATTTTCTTTTTTTTTTCGTTGACATTTTTTTTTATATAAAAACTTTTTTTGTAATCAAAAAATAATTTCCTAGGTAAATTGGTCTTCACCACCACTAAGAAGCCTCACTCACCCCTACATAGATTAACATGATGATCACATTGTCATTACAAATTTAAAGAATTAAGATTTCTTTATTTTCATTTTATACCTGAGAATCAAATTTTGTGATTGATACTCACCAAAAAAAAAAAAAAAATTATTGGAAGTAGTATTTATCAAATAGTATTTATCAAATAATTGGAAGTTATTTAGTGCTAGATAAACTCTTCAGTCTTGAATAAGATTGCTTAGTTTCAAAAGATTGTCATCAAAATCTCAATCATTTTAAGATTATATTTAGTAGTTCATTGAATTGAAGAATTTTTTATAAAACATGGATTGGATTAAATATTTTATACAGGTTAAATCTTTTTATAAAAAATAAGGTAAAAAAGAAACTGGTACCTACTACTCTACTCTACTGGATAGGAAATTAATATGTAGTACTAGGTAAAAAATTAGAAATAAAAAAAAACAAACAAGCAAACAATTTAAAATCATAAGTGGACTATATTTATTTTTAATTTACAAAATTTATTAAATAAATGAAAAAATTTAATAAAATGTTATTGATTTTTAGGTTGTTTTGAAATGTTTTTACATCAAAAAAAGTAAATAGTTTTACGTTTAAGTAAAGTTTTTATTTTTAAAAATATTTTATTTTGTTTTTAAGTTATTTTTTTGATCACAGTTATACAGGTTTAGTGAACTACACTTGAGCATCAAAGTTTTGATTATTTTATGTATAAAGACATATGGATGACTTTTCAAGTTCCTGTTTTTCTTTTTATAGTTCAAATCTCTGAAAAATAAATCCAACTATTGAACAATATTGGTCAATTATGATATACCAACTTGTGACAAACAAAGATTTTGACAATAATTTTTTAAAGTATTTCTTAATTTAATATATGATAACTCATTTTAACTTAATAACAATGGTAATGGTGGTGTGAGTAAACAAAAAATATCACTTATTTTTTTTAGAAGAATTTTAATTATTCCCCATGTTTACCACTATTAAGCTGGGAGTTAAAAGAAATCAAAGAATAGAGTTAAAGGAAAAGAAAATTTGACAGAAGGCTTATAAACGGTTGTATGAGTCAAAAAAACATGAAGAAAATTTCAAAGGATTGAAGTTCAGGTAAAAAAAATAGCAAAAAAAAAGTTTATATAACATGTCCGAACAGACACAGTAAAAAGATGCAACTTTGCTGAATGGCGAGTCAAACTAGAGTGAGTTCTGTTTAATGGAGCTAGAGATGATAGCTCCTCTGAGCAGCAACTATGATAGTATTTGTAGAAAAGAGATGCAACTTTACAATAATGGAAGAGAGGTTCAAGCTAGGCAAATAAAACAGGTCAAGGTTTCGCAATGTATTTTTTGACCTTCTCTAGAAGAGAAAGAGAATTATTAGAAGAACCATCCCAAATATGACAACATTCTATCCGTGGACAAATAAGAGATTTGTAGAGGTAAAGAATGGAATCAGAAGTAAGAAAATGGTGAGCACAATAAAGAGAAGCAATCTCAGCAGGTGCTAATTTAGCAATCGATTGTATATATGGTTTTCATGAAAAGTCAGTAGTAAACAATAATCCAAGAAGACGTAAAGAAGAGGACTAAGTGAGAGTGTTACCATTCATTCATATAGGAATGTCACCAGTATTTTAATACAGTCCCTGGCTACAATATTATGATCACCTACAATTTTTGTGTATTTTTAACTTCAAGGGTTTGATAAAAGTATGAAAAAAAAGTACAATCGCAATATTAGTTATATTTTATTATTAAAAAATGTTGCCGCAAAAATAAAATAATATTTCAAAATCAATTTACACACATTTTAACAATTATTCTTTTTGATGGCAAGTCATATATAAATGTTAATATTTTGCCATTCCTCCTTTCAGCAAAACAACTTTAGTTATTCAGTCTGGCTTACTTTTAATACAGTCTATTGCTGCTGTCTTAATTTTTTCATTGTTGTGCCAATGATAGAGTAATTTTTCAATCAAATCTCTTTTGTTTGTTGAAACCTCAAAAGAGTTTTTCTTCTTGAGAATGTTCCACATTCCACATGAAAATTCCAATTCTCAATCGGAATCAGGTCAGGAGAGTTCCCTGACCAACCAATATGTTTTTTGTTTTGAGAAAGTTTGTGATGCTTTTAGCTTTATGGCATAAAGCACTATTATGTATTAACATAAATGTATTGTCATTCTTGCATTTAGGGAATAAATTGGCCCTCCAAAACCTCTGGATACTGTACTTGGTTCATCATCCCATTGACAATATATAGTCTTCCTTTACTACTGATAACTGACAACAATTTAATAGTTTGTACAATTGCATTGAACAAACTATTAAACTAAAGTTTATAATTTTAGTCACTTATAAACTTTTATATATATATATATATATATATATATATATATATATATATATATATATATATATATATATATATATATATATATATATATATATATATATATATATATATATATATATATATATATATAAATATATATATATATATATAAATATAAGAATGTGCTTTCTGTCCAAAGGTTAATTTGTCTGAAAAACACGCCTGAAAAATCATTATAGCGTGGTTGTAATTAAGTTTATGTCAACATTTAAACACTTTTTTTAACAATATTCATTTGAAATTGATAAATTTACATGTTCCCAATCTCCAAGTCATACACTTATGATTTTTTGCCCATTGCAATTTCTTTTTTATCATTGCTGGAGTTAGCCTTAGTTTTTTAGCCGGTGTGTATGATTTTAAACCATCTTCAGCCAGACGTTTCCTCACTGTGCGCTCTGAAACTTGTATTCCAGACTCTTGAACAAGTTTTGTCAGGAAGAGGGATGACTTTTTTCTATTTTCAAGACAATGTCTCTTATAATTCTGTCTGTCCTGGGAGTGGTTTTATGTTTTGACCCATTCTGTCCTTTCCTTTTTAGAGAAAGACTGATGTCGTTTTCCATTTTGTGTTTGATTTTATTGACAAAAGGTTGCACAACTTTACACATTTTAGCAATTTCCTGTTGCAAACGCTCTGAATGCTGTAAAGAGGCTTTTACTTCTGAAATTTTGCTTGAATTTTGTCTTTACCCTTACCCATGTTTATTTTTTATTTAAAATTTCAATTACAACCTATTACACTAAAAATGTTAATAAAATGGTGCTATATATTAATTCCTGCTATTTTTAGTAACTTTATAAAATGTATTAAAAATAATAAAACACTTTTTATTTACAATATTAAAAAAATGTATGTGACAGATCAACCATGCTTTTTTTTAAAAATTGACGAAAATTCACATTGCTGACTTAAAACACATCTTCACATTGTTTATGATTATAATTTTTTTTGAAATTTTGTTCAATAGATGTCAGTATTCAATAGATGTCAGTATTGTAAAATAACTTTGTCATAATAATATACTCACCTTAAAATTACTATAAAATAATTTTGAAAACAAGATATGTGGAAAAGGTTCACAAACCACTGCAACCCCTAGCTGTCACAGACGTGAGATCAGATTGAAGATCAACTGTCTTTTCTTAGCGATTGAAAAAAGAAGACTTTTTATCAAAACAGGTGTATAAAGTTGAGTGTCAGCAAATAAAGCCATTTAAGATTGTCAGGAAGATCATTAATTTAGATAAGAAGTAAAACAAGACAAAGTATAGAACCTTGAGGTATGCCAGAAGGTGCTGGAAATGAAGAAGAACATTGGCCTTCAAGGATGGCTTTAATAAAACAGTTAGAAAGAAATCATTTGGTAATCTAAAAAATATTCCCAGCTATGCCATATGAAGCAAGCTTATGGAGAAGACCAGCATGTTAAACTTTGATATAATAAAAAAGATTTGATAAAATAAAAAAAGTATAAACAACATGTTAGAAATTATTATTTAATTAGCATCTTTTACATTGAAATAACATCGTTGTAGAAGCAGCAAGGGTTTGTTTATGTTTGTGATTCTTTTTTATTTTAGGTTTGCTGTTCTTATTGGCACCAACATTAAGTTCCAGGAGACAAAACAAAAATTTTTGTTAGGTAACATTTACAAGGTTTGTTATATATATATATTTTTTTGTTATATGAGTAAAAAGTAGAAAATTAATTTGAGATATTTGTTTTGAGACAGTTTTTGAAAACAATTAAAACAATGTTTTTATCTTGAAATATTTTGAGACATCGAGACATGTTGATATGTCTCAGTCTATCAGTTTCTTGATGATATTTTAAATCTTAATTGTGTTGCCACTCAATTTAGAAATTCTAAAAAAAGCAGGAGAATTCAGCAAAAGAATTTTAGGGAAAACCGAGAAAACTTTTTTTTCTATTTTTGTAGTTTTTAATCCAAACTTTGATATTTTGAAAAAGATTTTTTTCAGTGAAAAAAAATGTTGTTTTTCAAAATAAGCAGAGGTATGTTAATAAAAAATTTAGTTTAATGATATTTTGCTTATAATTGAAAAAATATTTGTTTTATAGGCGCATATAGAAAAAGCTATTTTATTAAACCCTGATGATGCAGCATCTTACTACTTTCTTGGAAGATATTTGTATGAGGTACATTTAATCTTTTATTATATTTTATTATTTGCATTTATATATATATATATATATATATATATAATATATATATATATATATATATATATATATATATATACATACAATTAATTTAAATAATGTATATATATATATATATACATTAATTAAAAGTAAATTAGTCTCTAAATAAAATAGATTTATATGCTTCCTTGGTATATTCGAAAAGCTGCTGCTGCAATCTTCTCTGAGACTCCAACTGCTACTGTAGATGATGCTCTTCAATGCTTTTTAAAGGTTTATACACTGCTTTCTTTTAAAAAATTGAAATCAATTAGATTTTTCTGTATATTTAAAGTTTTTTAACAACTAATTGATATTTTGTTTGAAACACAGGCAGAACAGTTAAAATCTGGATACTCGATGGGAAACTCATTCTATTTAGGAAAAGTAAGTGTTTATTTTTCAGTTAATTAAATTGCATTTAACAGATTTAAAAAATTTTAATTTCGTTACTTTTTATAAGGACTTTTTTTGGCTTTACCCAGGAGTTGTAAATTTAGGGGCAGTTTTGAATTGCAAATATTTCTTTATAGAGGTACTTAGATAAAATATTTATGTAGTTTTTTTAAATATCTTTAAAAATATCTTTAAAAAATTACCATGGAGGTCATTAAAGTATATTTCCTAATTGTTAATTACATATTGTTTGTAGTAATTTTGTCCTTTAGTAACAAGATAAAATTATTTTGAGTATAGTTTTGTTTTTTTACTTGTTTCTTAATTTTTTAACATTTAACCTCTGTTTTTTATATTTGTTATTTATAATAATAAAAAATAATATACTTACAAAAAGATGTGGTAAATACGACTGAGACATTGAATATACAAAAAAATATGTTTTTCATATATGTATGACATACATATATGAAAAATATATCATATTCATTTTTTGTATAATTAGGCGGGTTTTTTTTTTTAATCTATGTTAAGGTTCAAAAAAAGGATTAAAAATTTTAACGCAATAATTACATTTTATTTTCTGTTCTAATTAGAAAATATATGAAAAGAGGAAAGACAAACCAAAATTTTTTGTTTAACAAAAAATGGTAAATAATAGAGTTGCCTCCAAATGAAGGTGGTTTTCTTTAAATGTTATTGTGAAATAATAATACTTTAAAAGAAATTTTGTTTTTAATAATTATTTTATTATTAATTAAAACAATTAATAATAATTTTATTATTAATTAAAACAATTAATAATAAAATAATAAAAAAAAAAATTATTAAAAATAGTATTGAGTAATTAATAACTAATCATTAACTTTTTTTTATGTTTAAGATATAACAATAATTATAAAACAGAAGGAAAAAAGTAATAGAATAATAGGAAGTTATTAAACTGAACTTATCCTTTGTACTGAACTCATGCTTTGAACTGAACTCATCCTTTGTACTAAACTCACCCTTTGTACTGAACTCAGTACTGAGGATTTCATGTACTTAGTAACATAAAGGAATAATTGAAGCCTTATTAAAAAACTGCACAAATATATTTATCTTATTTTCAGAAATAAATGTCTATAAAATAAGTGTTTATGATTTTTTTTTGTAACAATACTAATATTATATAATGGATTAAAGTTTTTAGAACTACTCATAAAACCAGTTTAACTTTTTTTTTTTTTTGTGGAGTTTATATTGGTAACCCTGCTCATGATAAGTTTATTCTAGTGTTATTACTACAAAAACTGTTTACCTGAAGCAAGAAAATGGTTTTTTCAAGTCACTTCTGCTGTACCAATGTCTGATGAGGTAAAATAAAATCTCTGTTTTTTACCATTTGTTTTAAGTTTTTTAAATATAATTATTAGTGCACTTTTTTTGTCTGAAACAAATATACATGTAATTAAAAAGTGATTTGGGTAATTTTAGGTATATGTATAATTATTTAATATATTTATTAAAACTAGGATCATAAAATCAAATATAAGAAAATATAAGTTTAGTCAGTTTTCAAAATATTACTTTCTCAAGTATTTTTTTTCTTTCTAATGATCATATCTATGTAAGGTCGATATTAAGTCAGTATGCCATAAAATTGAACCTGCACAGATGGCATAGATCATAAACTCTCATTCCCCTTTCTAAAGAAGGTTATTTTTAACTTTTAGTCGGTTTTTTGAGGAATATAGTTGGCTAGTCGAGATTTGACACATTTCAGTCGGCAGATTTTTAGTTTTGATAACAGCTACAAATATTTTTTTTATTTGTTTTTTATCAAACAATTTTATGAAAAATTGTAATAGTTTGAAACTATATTCTAACTCTAAATATATTTCTATATTCTCATCGAACTTTGCAAATTTGAACAGATAATTGTTTCATTAATGTCAGTCATGCGTCAATTTATGTCAAATTAAGTGTGCGTATAAGTTATAAAAAAAACTCGAAAGTAAATTATGAAAATTTTACAAAAAAAAAATTGTTGATTTTTAGAAAAAGGATTTTAGTCTCATTTGAAAAGAAAATTATGAAACGGCGACTTGAAGTCTTGTAGCTTTTAATGCAATAAACATATCGAAAAAATTTCAGTTAAAAATCCATCAAGTTTTTAAATTTACACCCCCTTCCCTTCAACTAACAATAATGAAAAAAAAAAAAAAAATCAAAAATGTATCCCAAATTTAAAGATGGTTTTTAGCAAAATTGGAAAAATATTTCAATTAGTTTACGATTTAAATTTTAGAAAATTTAATATACACCCGTTACTATGTTAATTTTAATTTATTTCTTATTTAGGATGAAAGCTTTCATAAAGAAGCCACGGAGCTGCTTAAAAAACTGTGAAAAGCATTTGAAAGTGATCTTTAATCAAGTTTTTTTTTTTTTTTTTGAAAATATTTATAAAAATAAATTATGTACATAGTAAGATGATATGAAAGTCAAATTTTTTGGATTTCTATATTTTTGGTTTTATGGTATTATGTAGTAATTTCAAAAAAATGGGTGGCTGAACTTTAAATTAATTGGTGTCTAAATTAAAAAAAAAAATTCTAGATTTTATTTTATTGATAAATAAGAATTTTGGTTTTATCATCTACATAGTCAGAACATTATTTATTATTTTTATTATGTTTTATGTAATTTATCTTATAAACACTGACCTTAAAATCTTACTAAAAAAATATCCTTTAGGAAAAGAATTTAATATTCTCTTAGGACGGCGATAACAAGATTTAACTAAAAAAATTGTTTTAATGCGTTATTTAAGCACAAATATTTCTCAAACATGCGTGTTGAAAAGATCTTGATACAGGCTATCCCTAAAAGTTGTCTTTAATGTCAGATTCTCCTCTATCTTAAAAGTTTCACAGTTTTTTAGCTAGGAGAAAATTACTTGAATTTATGTCTGAATATTTTTGTAGATTGAATATTTTTGTAGATTGAATACCGTAATATTTATGTAGATAAAACACTAAACTTCGTAAGTTTTACAAAAAAAAAATTTATTAATTTTAAATATCTACCTAAATATTTTCGTAAATTTTTTACAAAACATTCGGTTCTTAAATTATTGTTTATTTTAATGATTCTGAGTTCAACACTAATCATTGTATGCTTCCTCTAAAATCAATTTGCAAAATGTTGCTTTGCATCGGGCCGCCTTGTATTTCTGAGGTCTTGGCCAGACTATATATGACCTAGGTATTTTTTTATCATACGAGATTTTCGATATATATATTATAAATTATTATAATTTTTTATTATATACTCGTATATGGTGTTTTTAAGGCAGATCATCAATGTTCAAAATCTATAGAACTAATTGACCTTTCCCCTTAAAGCAATGCATTATCGTATTTGTATGTACAGAAAAATCAAATACTCGCGATTCGTAGTTTTTTTAATTTTTAATTATTTCGTGGCTTGCTCGTACATAGATAATAGTTTCTCTCTTATAATTAATTACATTCACGCCAAAATCTTTTATAAATCTTAATATCCCCGCAGGAGAATAACTGCATTGTAATATAACAAATATTTTAACGCAGTTGTAGTTGAATTTCGTTAGAGAAGCTTGTCTAAAGTATATTTTACAAGTATAGATAAGTAAAAGAATATACGATTAACTCTATAAATATTCCTGCTAGATCTATCTTTTTAAAAGCTCTTAGCATTTGACTAAATGCAACATTTTGTATAATTACAAACAAGAAATTTAACAGCGACGAAAACAAAATAGTTTCTAAAAATGAATTTTAATGGTCAAAAGACAACATCTCTGTTTCCTTTAACATATCAACATAAATTTACTTATATAGTATCAAACAAAGAAGAGCTTGTAATCATAAAATAGCTGGTTATCAGTTATTCAAAGAGAACTATGTGAAATAAATTAGAGTTTAACCAAATACTTTATTATATAGAAATAAACCAAGGAATCACAATGGCTGTGTTAATTATTGAAATAAAATTTGGCCAAAATCATTTTGTGAAATAATAACTAACAAGTAAATGAAAAAAAAGTTAAAAAGTTTAAACCTCGTAATAATGGATAATTTCTACACTATCTGAACCATTTAATTAAAACTAATTTGACTGAGGAAAATTAAAGCTTGCCATAATGTTAATTAATTTTAAAAAAATAATTCAAATTAAATCAAAAACTAAAGATTAATACAAAAACAAAAATTGATTGAAGAACAAAAAAAAAAACTTACTGTATCAAGTTTTGGTATAATAATTATACTCCTAGAAATGATCCTACTTCATTGTTAAAAAAGCTTATAAGAAACTTTGATAGTAGTTTACCCTCACAAGCTTGTTAGTGGAGTATTGAAAATGAAGATATTGTTCATGAAAAGTTTAAAGCAAAAGTTAACTGTGATGCAAAAAAATGTGATCTGGTTATAAATCCTAAATGCCATGGCTGGTTCTAGCCCTGATGGGTTGTGTATTAACTGAGACAGCTGCAAAATAATTGAAGTAAAGGGCTCTTTTTAAAGAGAAATCTTTGTGTACATAAAGCTTGTACCAATAAAACTTTTTGTATGGAAATAGTAATAGACAGCAAAAACTAAAAATCAAACAGTTAATTTAACCAATGTCAAGGTAACCCTATCGTGTATATCAAATGAAAAAATAACCTTTAAAGTATTTAACAAAGCTCTGACTGAACTAAAGCGAAATAAGTCATGCGGATATGATGACGTTACTAGCAATGTAGCAATACACGTCATTGAATGTACTAGAAAACCCTTATTTCATCTAATATCGTCTTCTTTTGAACACAGTACTTTTCCTGAAATGCTAAAAATTGCTAAAGTCAATCCTGTTTATAAAAATGGAGATTGTAATAATAAGTCTAACTACCTTCCATATTCCCTCCTACCAGTGTTTTCTAAATTTTATGAAAAAGTAATCTACAATCGAATTTATAATTACTTGAAGTTAAACGAACTTTTATATGAAAATCAATTTAGATTTCAAAAAAGTTGCTTAACAGAACATGCTATCATTGAACTTACTAATAAAAAAGGAGATCATGTACTGGGAGTATTTGTAGACCTTTCAAAGGCATTTGATACAGTTGACCACAACATCTTACTATCAAAAATTAAAACATTTTGGTATCAACGGACTAATGTATAAATGGGTAAAAAATTATCTGAGTAACAGAAAGCAGTTTGTAATTAACAAAGAGTCAAGTGTTCTTGATATTGAGTGTGGGGTCCCTCAAGGCTCAATCTTAGGACCGTTATTGTTTTTAATTTACATCAATGATACGCATAAAGCACCATCCATAGTATCTTCAATAATGTATGCTGATGACACAACATTATTTTATAATCATAGTAATTTAAAATCGATGTTCGAAACAATGAATGCCAAACTGGAAAACTTTAATTTATGGTTTAGAGCAAATAAACTATCCTTAAACTGTGAAAAAACTAACTACATCCTATTTCATAAAACAGGTCAATCAATGTAATTTAAAATCGATGTTCGAAACAATGAATGCCAATTCAAACAATGAATGACTCTACCGTTAAAAGTTCCACAATTGCTCATTAACAACGTAACAATAAAACGGGAATAATATGCAAAGTTTCTTGGCGTTTATTAATCAATGACTCTTGGTGTTTATCAATCAATGACTCTTGGTGTTTATCAATCAATGATTCTACCGTTAAAAGTTCCACAATTGCTCATTAACAACGTTACAATAAAACTGGAATAATATGCAAAGTTTCTTGGTGTTTATATTGATGAAAATTTATCATGGAGAAATCGTATTGGACACATTGAAACAAAAATATCATCTGCAATAGGTATCTTATATAAATGTTGCCCGTTTCTTGATTTCTTTTCAAGAAAAATACTTTAGTCTAATTCACAGTCATCTCACATATGCTAATATAGTTTGGGCTAATACACACAAAACAAAATTAGTCAAACTACAAGGCTTGCAAAACCATGTTCAGGGGCGGATGCAGGATTTTTTGTGGATGTTGCCTGTTTTTTTTCAAGTTGCCAAAGTAGTTTGCAATATTTTTTTGTAAGCCCCTTCCCCGGGCTAGCGAGGGGGGGTGTTCAAAGCGGCTTCAGTTTATTATTACTTTATTATTACTTGCCAGGCATTGTTCTCAATTACCCATATAAAACAAAACTAACAACAATATTGCCTTGGCTATTCTGTTCATAAATTAGACATTTTTTACTTGTCTAACCTATTTAACGAAGTGCACCAACGAGAAGGTAAGCCATAGGACTTTGCACTCCATCTGTAAACTGTCATGTGGCCTAAGGTTAGCCCTCCATTTCTGGATTTTTTTCCTTTTCTTGATAGGGAGTTAGTGTAAAGTAATTGTATTGTTGCCTTAGGTTAGCCCTCCATTTCTGGATTTTTTCCTTTTCTTGATAGGCAGTTAGTGTAAATTTTTAATACCATTACCTTAGGTTAGCCATCCCTTTCTGGATTCTTTCCTTTTCTTGAAAGGCAGTTTATGTAAAGTATTAATATTGTTGCCTTCGGTTAGCCCTCCATTTCTGGATTCTTTCCTTTTCTTGATAGGCAGTTAGGCCAATTTTTTTTTTTAAAGTTTTTATTTTTTATTTTGTTTTTTCTAATTTTCATGAAATATAAAATATACTTAAATATAAAACAAACTAAAATACAAGAATATAGTCAATAAATAAAAAAGAAATTAATAAATTAATATTAGGTAAAAACCAACTCTAAGCGTCGTTCCCCTAAAACAGAAAAAATATTCAAAACTCTCTCTACATCAGGAATTATTTCTTGATGAATAGACATCAGAGCTAAAGAGTTAAATATTGACTCTGTCATGCGGCTTCGCATATAAGTTTTCAGTCTGCGTATAACAGAAATGCTCCTCTCGCATTCACATGTAGTAAATGGAATTGTTCCCATTATTAAAAAACCTTCCCTAATGTTTGGGAAACCCCTCATATCAATAGATTTTAAAGTTTCTGTAATAGTGGATGGGATCACAGATTGATTGTTCCAAAATGTTTCCCACAAATTTAATTCAGCATAAATTGATGTAGGATGAGGCATATCCGATATATAAAAATGCAAAAATTCTATAAAATCTAACTTCCAAAAACATTTTTCTTTATTTTTTTTTTACAACAGTTGCAGGAATACCAGATAAACCTTTGTAAACAACCATATTACCTTCATCAAATCTATCTTCTAATTCATTAATTAAATGATCTAGAAGAGGAGATGTGATGAAATATTTGAAATAATCTGAAACTGTGTCAGAGGGATAATTATCTCTATAAATTTGTCTGCCACAGAGCCTTGGTTTAACTTCTGAAACATCAAGAGTCTTAGCTAGATCAAGAGCAATTAAGTACCATTCGTTATGATAGACATCAATATTTTTTTTTTAATCTAAAATTTGAGTTTTTAAACAATTTATTTCA